TGTTCAAGTGGTGCTCCAGGTGCTTTGAAATTGCATCCTAGGCGCTTATTAATGTTGGTATCACTTTTGCATTCTTTTGCCACAGTTGTTCTATTTCTATTTGCAGTTATTTCTTTTTTTTTAATGCATAAACATTTTGCATACAGTGTATTGTCAGGTCATATCATTTACAAAAGAAAAACAGAGAGAACAAAATAAGATATTAACACATATACTAGTAACAATAGTAATATAACAATAGTTTTGGCTCAATTTATCTTTATATTAGCTTATTCATAATTCTGTTAATTATATTAGCATATTTATAATTATAAACCATCTTTATATTTAATTCATACATAGCAATAATCTTTCTTTATCTAATTTCTATCTCTTATCTCTAACCCCTCATAAAATCAATTCAAGGTGGGTTGCTTCCGGTTTGGCCCAGATTGGGTAAATCGGTAGTGGCAGCAGTGGAAGGCTCCGTCCGCCCACCCAGACACTTCTGCACATGCGTAGAAGCAGCACGCATGCAAGCAAGTGAGCGTGCAAGCCTGAGAGAACCAGTAGTGCTGGGATTTGCAACTCACCTCTGATGTCAAGTAATATTCTGTATCTTTTTTGTCTTTTATTTTTAAAGTCAATTTATCCATCTTTGCACAGTCTAATATTTTTTCGAATTACATCCTCATCTGATGGAGTGTTCTCATTTTTCCAATATTGTGCAAATAGAATCCTTGCTGCTGTCAGTACATGCAGAACTAAATATATAGTCCCTTTATCATAAACCTCTGACATTATGCCCAGCAAAAATATTTCTGGTTTCCCATCTATATGTTACTTAATCATCTTTTCCAATATTTTTTTGCTTCATACAAGTCCACCACATATGATGATAATAAGTGCCTGAGGTCTGATTACATTTCCAACATTTGGCAGACATATTACTAAACATTTTTGCCAATCTTGTCAGTGGCAAATGCCACCTATAAAACATTTTATAAAGATTTTCCTCATATGTGGTAGCCATTGTCAGTTTATAGTTCCTATCCCTAAGTTTTTGCCACTTATCTAATTTTATCATATAACCAGAGGGACACAGTGGCTCAGTGGCTAAGACACTGAGCTTGTTGATCAGAAAGGTCATCAGTTCGGTGGTTTGAATCCCTAGCACTGTGTAATGGGGTGAGCTCCTGTTACTTGTCCCAGCTTCTGCCAACCTAGCAGTTCGAAAGCATGTAAAAATGCAAGAAGAAAAATAGGAACCACCTTTGGTGAGAAGGTAACAGTGTTCCGTGCGCCTTTGGCATTTAGTCATGCTGGCCACATGACCACGGAGATGTCTTCAGACAGCGCTGGCTCTTCGGCTTTGAAACAGAGATGAGCACTGTCCCCTAGAATGACTGGCACATATATGCGAGGGGAACCTTTACCTTTACCTTTATTATATAACCAAAAAAAAAATGCCCATACAATCACTGTTTTTTGACTTGTTCCTCTTCCCTTTTATAACTTAGTAAATAGTTGTATATTTTAAATCTGTTTTTCATCTGTCCTTAATAAGATCTTATCAAGTGTTGTTGGTTCTTTATAAAAAACCCATGTTTTCTTTATAAAAACCCCACATCTTTCTTGTATCTTGACTGTATTTGCAGATACGGCCACCAAGCTAAATCCACTCCTTGGTTTTGTAATTGTTGTCTAGTTTTAAGTTCACCAATCTCATTTAAAATGTCTTTATAAAATACAATTTTTTCCAAGTTAATAAGATTTGGGTATATCAATGCTTTGGTATTTTCATATAGTTTTATAATTTATTTTTTCCCATACATGAAGCAAAGCATTCCTCACATACAGTAATGTCTTTGAAAATATCTATGTACCATATTCCTTCCGTACCATAAAAAAGCATGCCATCCTAGTTTAAGATCATGTCTCTCCAATAGTAGTAATCTTCTACGTTTCAAGTTTATCCATTCTTTTAGCCATGTAAGTATTGATGCCTGATAGTATAGTTCCCAATCTAGTAGTCCAAACCTCCCATTGCTTTTAGACTCTTGTTGCATTTGCAGTTTTATTCTTGCTTTTTTCCCTTGCCAGATCAAAATTGTTCTATTTTGTTTTTCGAAGTATTTTTTTTCTATTTTTATCGGTATTGTTTCTAATTTTAAAAAAGTAATTTCTGTAGTATATTCATTTTTGTAGCACTATTTTCCCTATCAAAGATAAGTATAAGTAGGTATAATCTTTATTGTCATTGTACTTAAATACAGCGAAATTGGTAGTTGTATAGTTGTAAGTTCTTCCATTTCTCCAGGTCCAACTTAATTTGTTGCATTAGTTTTATATAATTATCAACTTTAATTGTTGCACATCTTGCTGTTAAATAGATGCCTAAATATTTAACTTTCTTTACTATCTGCCAATCTATTTTCTCTGTCAATTCTTTTTTTAATCTGTAAGGTTTTTAACTATTACTTTGGTTTTTTCTTTGCTTATTCTCAACCTTGCGACTTCTTCATATTCCTCAATTTTCTCTATCAATTTAGGACCAGTTTCTAGTACTCTTCTAATATAAAAACTAAATCATCTGAGAATGCTTGTAATTTATATTTTTCTTTTTTAATTTCCATTTTTTTATTTCTGGATCTTGTCTAATACTTCTAGTTAGGACTTCTAGTGTTAATATGAATAGTAATGGAGATAGTGGATAGCCTTCTCTTGTTCCTTTTTTTAATATTAAAACTTTCTGTCACATCTCCATTCACCATCACTTTAGCTCTCTGTTGTGTGTAAATTGCCTTTACCATATTTGTAAATTTTTCACCAAAGTCCATGCATTTTAATTGTTGCAACATAAATTGCCAATTTACATTATCAAACTCTTTCTGGGCATCCAAAAAAATTACTTCTAGTTGTTTTTCACTATGTATTTCATAGTACTCCCATGTATCCAAAATTATTCCAACATTGTTTCTAATTTGCCTCTTACCATATTTTTCGGAGTATAAGATGCTCCGAAGTATAAGCCGCACCTAGCTTTGGGGAGCAAAACAAGGGAAAAATATCTGCCTCTGCCTTCCAGCAATTTGCCTCCTTGCAACAAACAGCAAACAGTACAGACACTATACACTGTTTGTAGTGTTATATTTAAGATTATACTTGTATAAATGCTGTTAAAATTGATGTGCTTTCTGGAAATATAGTTATTCTCTGCTATTTAAAAGAATAGCTCTTTTTAAAACAATAGCACTGGGCTTCTTCAGATCAAGCATTTATTTTAAAAAGCTTCTTCATTTTGCTAAGTTATCTAAAATAATAATAAAGCATTTATACAAAATAAGTCTAATAATTTGAACATTCTATAAACATTTATAGTTATTGACTTACTTCCTTGCAGCAAACAGCCTGATTAGCAGAAGGA